GTTGTCTTCTAATACTTCCTCTTGTCCTTGTCAAAACTTATAGGGGCTGGGGATTTAGCTCAGCAGCATAAGCACCTGCCCTGCAAGCAGGGGGTCATGAGTTCGATCCTTGGTACCGAAAAAAAAAGTTCTTATAATTAGAATAGATTGCAAATTCATTTCCTCCAGTTGACAAACAGTTCTTCAGAGAAAAGACCTGCTTTTATTCATCTTTCAGACCTCCACAGCTATCAGGGTCTGGTTTGTAAAGGGTGGTCAGGGGTTGTTTGTTTACTGAGTGACTCAGTGAGTTAAGTGACTGGAACACATTAATGTATCATTCCTCATAGGGACCAAATCCATGCCTCCATAGGCCATGTTTTAAATACCTATGAATTTTATTAGGACAATGCAATTCAAAGCCACAGTGAGACAACGTCTCATTTCTTAGTGATAAGAAGTCTACAATAAAAAATAAGAGTTAGTGAGGATTTGGAGAAATAAAGCCCTTACACGTTGGTGGGAATGTAAAATTGTTCAGCAATCATGGAAAACAATTTGATGGTTTCTCAAAGCGTTACATATAAAATTACTATATGACTCAATAATTCCATAACTTGAAATATACATACAGAGAAATATTAGCTATAAAAAGAAATGAAGAGCATATAGATATTATAGCATAGATGAACTTTGAAAATAATGGAAGTAAAAGATACATATTATCTAATTCCATTTGTACAAACTACCTAGAATAGGTGAGTCCTTACAAACAGATTGTTAATTGCTAGGAGCTGAGAGAAAAAGAAATGAGGATATTGTTAGGGTTTTCAGGCAGAATAGAGAAGCAAAGGGAAAGAAAAAGGGCCTTTACTGAGGAGGAGGAGAGCAGTGCACCACTCATGGGGTTGGGCAGTCTCCTCTGCCAGAGACAAACATGGCAGGAGGATTTATGGCCCCTGACCGGAAGCAGTGCTTGGGGCGGGCATTGGTGACGTGTGAGGAACTGACAGGAATTCTCTTCATGTACATGGGAAAGGAAAGAGGAAGTTGTAATCAGGACTGAAGGGAAAGGAGGAGGAAGAGGTCCTCGTGGTAATTGTTTTAGCTTTGGCCTTCTGCCATGTTAGACCACCACTATAATGTCCAGTAACCTAGGGCAGAAACCTTTCAGGTATATTGTTTCCTTTTGAGATGAAGAAAATATTTTGGAAGTGGGCAGAGGAAATAGTTGCACAACACTGTGACTGTGCTAAACAACAATAAATTAATCTCTTCAAAATAGATCATTTTATGTTATGTGAATTTAATATCAATAATATAAAACAATTATCTCACATTGCATAATAAGTTGTCCAAAACTTGGACACAATTGATATGATTACACTGTATAGATTTGGGAATTAGAGTAGAAGTCCCAATATGATTCATGAACTACCCTAGAAAGATCCACACCATTATGTTCATGAATATCCATTGGTTGCCCAAGTAGGCTTACCCAAGAACAGGAACTCCAGAAAGCAATGATCACTGGGAGTACTCCAGATGGCTCATTACACACTCCTTCAGGGGATATGAAGGGGACTAACATGTCAGCCCCCTCAGTCTGGACATCGCCAAAAGTGGACAGCAGGAAGCAGCTTTGGAAACACATGATGGAATGCTTGAAAAGCATTATAAGTGAAATCATTTATGTGAAGAATTGGAAAGATCATGCTTCAAAGTGTGCACAAATTGCTTCATGCACAGGTGTTACAATGAAATTTTGTACCTTGCAACAATTCCTGGACACCTAGACTTTCTTTGAGGTAAGATTCTTCCAAGTGATTGGAATAATGACCTGAGATAACGGACACCTCGCCCAGCCTAATGGAGATGCGAGGGAGCTGGAGGCGAGTGTCTTAGCCTACCTGTGTCTGCTCATTTCTGTCGCGGGTTATTACAGGTCAGCACACAGTTCCTAGCTATACTACCCTTCTACCCAAGCCAGGTCAGTTCCTAGCTTCTCTGAAATGGCAATTTTACCAAAGTTACAATTCTCAAAAGCCAAAGTGTACTACCATAAAACTACAGGTGACATCGTATCATCTCATGAGTCAGATTTTCCAAAAGCCTGCCTTAGTCAGATTGCTGTCTGGCACATTACTGAAGGTTAGACAAATGGACAGAATTTTACCAAATTCTTGACTTGGGTGTGAGTCTATTCAGATACATTCATGGTGGCCAGGGCTCCAAAAGCTAATCAATTCTTTGGTGAGAAAAAATGACCCAGTCTGGAAGTTTCTCCTTAAATAAAAAGTTTGATAATAATAGCAGTAAGCTGTGTAAATGCTAATGTCAACTGCCTACCAAGTAGGGTACAATAAGAACACTGATTGCATATTTACTTGGGTCTGATTTCAGGAAGGATTGGAGGAAGCAAACAAGTGGATACAAAGAGTTCAGGGAAAGGATACAAGGCAGTGAGAGCTTGCTAGAATACTTGCTTAAAGGGGCCTTATGTGGGCAAATATTAAGGTGGGTGATTCAAGAATGACCAAAGAATGGACGTAAAGGAAACTCAGCCGGAAAGGAAAGAGATAATGAGAGCACCTGCGGATCTGGACAGCTGGGGACTTGAAAGATAGGATCCTGAGCTCCTGAATGTATGTAGGAGTGAGGGAGGTACAGAAAGCTGAGAGAGTTAAATCAAAAGGGTGGAAAGGCAACTACAGAGAACGAGTGGATACAATCAAAATTGCACATAGGAATAACTATAAAAAAACTGGCGTATCACAAGATCAGATACAATGTGTATCAAACCCTGTGGAAATAGCTAATTAAAAAACGATCAAACAAAACAAGACAGGAGAGACTGTTGGTGGGTCATAAAGTCATTGTTAGCTTATTGATTTATATTTCGTATTTGCTTAGAGATTGGGAAGCAGAATAGCTATATAAAACATGGACAAAGCCTCACTAATTAAATTAAAATCCTCAATTCTGTTGTACACTAAATTCTGCAAAGGTGAAAGGATTAGTTAAGCATCAGTGCTGTTAGATGAACACAGATGTCTGGACTCCAGAATGCAACCAGCATATCAAATAAGAATGAGGAAGTCTGTGGTTTATATCAGGCACTAAATGCATTAAGGAGAAAGTCAAAGCACTTTTAACAAACACCAAGCAGGGTAACACACAGAGTGAGGGAGGCAGGCTCCTGCCAAAGGTTCCAGGATGCAAGATAAAAGGTAAACAGCTCTGCGGATGGCCAGTTCTCCCGTTCCTTGTCCTTCACAATGTTCTCTAAAATTCAGGGACAAAATATTGATGTCTGGCTGTTAGTCTTACAGTAGAACTTACATTTGGAGCTTATAAAGAGTATCATGGTTTTGGTTAAGCATGTTGTTCTGTTAAGTGTTTCTCTTCTCTATTCATGTCATCACTAAATACTTGTTTCCATTATTTGCCATTAAATTCAAAGCATTTTTTGCATACTCTTTACCAGACATTGAGCTACTGCATACAACAAAACATAGTCTTAACCTCATGGGGTTTACAGCTAAGTAACATAAACACGCAGTTTAATGGTCTGGTCACAGAACTACAGAAATAAATATAAGAAAAATATGAACAGTGAAAGTAAGGTACAAGCAGATAAGTGTGATTTTTCCAAGGCAGAGATTATATTTTGATGGGCATTAAGGAAGAGACTCGAAGAAGGGGCAGGAAGAAAAGTAGGAAAAGGCGTCTCTAAGTTATGAACCAAGCATGGAATTAGGAAAGCATGGGCTACAGGTGGGACAGAGAGGAGAGCTGGATTTGGTCATGGCCTGCATATATATGGGGACCCTGCAGCAAAATTAGCTGCTCAACAAAGTTATCTGAAAAGCAAACTCTAGAAGGAGACTTTTGTTCCGCAGGACCTTTCCTTTTAATCTACAGCTTCAAGCTGATGAGCTCTAAAGGGCAGCATATTTGGAGGGGAAATTATATGTTCAGAACACTAGAAGTCCATAGACTCAAGTCCAAAGACTCAAGCACTAGATGTCCATAGACTCAAGTCCAAAGACTCAAGCACTAGAAGTCCATAGACTCAAGTCCAAACACTCAAGCACTAGAAGTTCATAGACTCAAGTCCAAACACTCAAGCACTAGAAGTTCATAGACTCAAGTCCAAAGACTCAAGTACTAGAAGTCCATAGACTCAAGTCCTGCCTTCTTTCCAGGATCCAGTGCCCGGCCTCACCTAGAGAGTTTCTCTCTCAGAAGTATCTATTTGGATCTTGTCTTATGGAATTGATCCATGTAGCTCAGCTGCTGCAGTCAGAATTTGAGAAAAACAATAATATATGAAAAGGCCCAAATTAGTGTTCAAATTATTGTATGAAGACATAGTTTCCTTATGTCTGAGGAGATTCAGGGCTGGTGAAAAGATCTTTTATGGGAGGCAAAAAGCATCCCGGAGTGAAGCAAAGCTTACACAGTAGGCACAGAATACCAATTATCAGGAAATCAACCAGAGATGGATGTTTGTAAAGATGAAATGCAGTCAGTTAGATGGGTGAGCAGTGGACAGCACAGAGCTAACCATGTGGCTGTGCTTTTGTATGAAAGTTGGACCAGAGCGCTTTTCAGTCAATCGAACCTTGTTCTATCTATCTCTTTGGACTTTGTGAGGTTTCTCCCAACCACTCTCACAGTTACGGGGGATGAGGAGGACACCTTTTCTTACATTGAAAAGTAGAAACAGCGAGCTCATTGACTGTGTTTCAGGGTCATTTGTGGGATCTACCATTGCAATCCTTACCTTAGAGGCTAAGGCCATGGATATACCAGCCTACAAAGACTCATTCATATCGCATGTTTGCCTTGGAACCAGTGGGGGTATCACCAGAAAAGGCAAATGTACTCAGATGTAGTTAAAGGAAGTGATAACTGTGATTACATAAGCTTGCCCTTCTTTCCTCCCCTGAATAATAACTGGATCATGGTTAACTACTCCCAGAGCCCTTATCATGGCAATAACTAAAAGGTCTGAGACTATAAAAACCAGATTTAGAAAACAAATGAGACATAGAAAACTCTATTATGCATGCAGTTGCATAAGGTCTGTGAGAGAGACAGCATGAACCACCTGGTAAGTACATGATTTTCATTTCAAATGTAGGTGTTTACGTTCTCAGAGTCATAATAGACACGGAGAAGTTCTTTTGCTCCTCCATGGATTGCTTTGAGTTAAACCCAAATAGAATTTTTAAATCACAAATTTTATTTTGGCACATCATCTTTCTGTTGGCAAGTCTCTCTTTTGAAATATCTAAGTGAAGGGCCTTCAAAGAACTAGTAACTAACTTGTTAAAGATTAAGAATCTTTGGGCGTTAGGTAGATACTTGCATTTTGGGCCCATCTTTTGGTGTTTATGTTATTTACATATCGCCAGTAAAGAAAGGCTCTGATATATTTCATATATGGCAACAGTTTGAGTAGTTTAATAAGACAGTGTAGCCTTTACTGATCTTGTCAGCTGAACCCATCACACTATGCTTATTATTCATCAAGGAGCTGTTTAATTTCCCTTTGAAGATGTATTTCACTCTTTATTATTGGAACTGCATATGGAATATTGCATGAATGCTGTAGGAATGGGAGAGAGGAAAGTTTTCCGTCCCATTCAGCTGATGCTATGACCACGCTTGAGGTAGAGGAGCCCTAAGCACTCTAGATAATAATCTGTCAGATATGAGGAAGGGTTTGTTGCTGAACTTGCTAACTCTAGCCTTTTTCTACCCTCACCAATTATTTCCTTTATTCTCTGATGCCTGAAATTCCCTTGGGAAGCATGGCAGTACACATGGAGAAAAAATGATTAAGTATACATGTTTCAAGAGTTAGTCACATGAACATACAATCTATTTCAAAAGAAGGTGTAAAGTGGTGGGAGGCCTTTGAGTCTCAGGCAAGGAGAGAAGAATTAATGGAACGTAAACCGGGAGGGTATCAATTTCCAGCGGGGTGGTAGGTGGACAGAAGCAGTGCAGGGCCAGTAAGGTGATTTGGAGTTTGGATGAAGAGCTGAACCAGGGGAGCCGCCTCAGATGTAGAGAGGAAAGCAGAGAAAAAAAGACTGAAGGTCTGGATTGTAACTGCGATTACGGTTTAGTCTAGTATGGTCCTGACTTGTGTGCAGATCAAGTGGTGGGTGGGGTTGCTGGACATCTCAGCCAGTGATTAGCAGCAGAAGACACAAAGCAGATGTCCTTGCATGAATGGAACACATTCCCCCTGAGTAGTCAGCAGGCCTCATTCAAACACCCTGAACCCCAGGCTCCTGATGTACAGTGGGCTCCACGGGGAAGAGAGATGGTGAAGATTCCAGAGATGTGATAGAAAACATGGTGAATGTCTTAATCTTTAAATGTATTAAAGGACGCATTGAAGCCCTTCTCCTTAAAACACTCCCCTGGCTTTGAACACACGTACCCCATTATTCTCCCCACTTTCTGAAGTCTTTATGAGTGTCTTTAGTTCTGCTATTGTGGCTCCCTCAATGTCCTGCATCAGGTCAAAATGCCTACCTTTCCACTTTGATTTTAAGGAAGAAACAGAAGTTGCATGATGCCAGACTCAGTGGCTAAGGTGGGTAAGAACGCATCGTGATGTTTTTATAGTCTTTTCTCTTGAATAGCGCTTGATGGTAGTGTTCACTGGATTTTTTATCATACTCCAGAGACATGAAAGGAGTTGCAGAATGGCTTCAGGAAGTAGCAAGAATGTTGGGGAAAAGTGTGTTTGAGAGGAAAAAGTATTTTGAGGCAGTTTAGTAGCAATATGTCTTTTACTTTAAGAAAAATTTTTATTGAAACATTAACATATATATAGATCACCTCTGTGTTAATCATTTTAAGAAGTCTCCAACCTAGCAGGACTTTAGGATTCTAAACTCATCTGAGGCTAAGGAAAACGTCCACTAACATTTGCTCCCATTTCAGATTGCACTTTCCATCCTTCTGCTCTTCATAGTTCCCTCTCTGGCTCTGATGGTGAGTAGGACGGAGAGGGCCCCATTTCTGTAGACTTCTTTAAGCACAGTATTCCACCAGTGATAATCACGCATGGCGCCCCTCAAATTTCTTGCAGACACCCCTAACCCTGCAAGGTATGGACAAAATACAAACTCTGAAATTTCAGCTTTGCTCATTGTTGCTTGGTTTTTTTCCAGAGCACCAATGACAGTCAAGTTCTGGATGGATCTTTCGGGACTCAAGTCATCCACGTCGATGCCTTCGGAGGTGTGGTCAGCATCCGAGACAACAATGTTCTGAGTGAATGGGATGGAATCCTGGACTACAAGAATGTAAGATCTGGGTTATGGGATATGTTTATTACAATGATGAATAAAGCCTATCCGCTCCAAAATATAACAACCCTTTTCCAGAGGGTAGAGGACACCATTTGCTTTGGCCTTCTCTAGGTCTAGTCCCTCAATGGAACGGCTTGCTGTAGGTAAGGGACCAAACTTCCCTGCAGTTTCAGTGACTTCTTACTGGGCCATAAAGTGTAGGAGGAATTTCTCTGGTTCGTGAGAATCCTGCCTTCTTTTGTATCCCTATGAGACACCCACTTCATATCGATCAAAGGACTCAGGATAGAGATACATTATGGAAGTCACTGTCTCCATCCTGGATTTCAATGTTTATTTCTAAAGAAGAATGGCCGATTTTCATCTTTAAAAATCTAGCTGCAACTTGCTCATCTCTGTAAGTAAAAAGATATAACAGAAAGGTGCAAGATTCGAAAGGGGGCCTTGGCCTGGCTCTCCGATAGCACCGTGACCACAGAGACATCATTCACCCTGCAAGCTGCAGTCACTACATTGGAAAAACAGCATTAAGTGCTGCCTTCCTCACCTGCCAGGCCTTGAAGAAGGAAATGGAGTAAAAGCCCACCCTCCTCACCCTGGGCCAGCGGCTCCTGCCAACAAGCCTCTCCCAACCACCTCCATTGTCCCTGGCCACAGGTGATACCTCAGTGGCCAGAGACACTCACATCCTGTTCCTCTCCTCTCCCACCTGTGCCTTCCGTGCTCTCTTCCCTGGACATCTCCTTTGCTCTTCACCTAGCCCGCTCCTGTTGTCCTCAGTGACAGGTGTCCCCAGCTCCTCCTCAAGGACACACAGACTAGTGATTTATAATTCTACTGTAGGCAGGCACTTTTCTTCAACAAAATATCCCACTAGTTGGAGCATAAGAGTTCGTAACACTTGCTGGAGAGGACTGGTTTCTACAGATGCGCCCTGCACTCAGGCAGAGGGAGGCCAAATGACAGACCCAGAGCCAAGGGAGCGGCGTCTAGGGCTAACTCTCTGCTGGAATCAGTCTAGTCCTCCTGACCTGAGGAGCCTAAGAGCCCCGCACATTCTAAGAGAACTCGGCAGCTTGCACAACACACAGGAACAGCTGGCATCTCATCTCACGCTCACCCTCAGGACAGCTTTGAGGGAGGGAGGTCATTTTCCTTCTGTGCAGATGAAGCAACTGAAGATGTGGGTGGGGCACTGAGAACCCTGCTGAATGGCAGAATGGAAATTTAAAGCCAGCCTTGTTACCATTACCAGAGCTAAGTCCCTATCCCTCCGATCACACCCATCCCCAAATCCTGGGGAGTGAACTGTCTCCAGCAAGATAGGGGACAATGACTTGGGGTCCTGGGGAGCAGCAGGTATATACTCCAGTCCTGATAGTCGGCTTTGCTCTGGTGTCCAGGGCAACACACATACAGTAGGAAGAAAGCAAAGTGCCAGTGCCTGTGGAGAGTAGGTGTCCCTTAACGCTGTGACTAACTGAATGATAGGTTACCGCTTTGTTGCTTCAAGGCTCTCTTGGCAGCCAAGCTATTTAGCGAGATGGTCTGTGTCCTGGCCAAGATGGACCAAGCAGTCTTCCCAAGTTTGAACGACATTAAGAAGGCCCTGGTTAAGCAGGTGAGTGAGACCAGCTCAGTCTGCTGGTGCTTTCTGACTTGCATCCAACCTCTGAGAGCAATGCTGTGCACACAGAAGCCAGGGTACTCAGTTCATGCTCGTGATTTTTTGAGACAGGATCTCACTTTGTAGTCTAGGCTGGCCTTGCACTTGTTATGTAGCCCAGCCTGGCCTTGAACTAACTCACGGTCATCCTGCCTCAACCTCCTGAGCGCTGGGATTACAGGCTACTTCACCCAGTGGGTTCATCCCACTCTTAAAGCCTATGAAATCACACCACTGTGCAAAGGACTCTGAGGCCAGCCAATGAAGCCTTCAAGTCATGATTTGGTCAGTGAAAAGCCCATGCAATGACTGCATCCTGAAGTATTCCTTAAGGTGAAAGCCACGTGTCAGTGGGTGTGAGTAGCTGACTATAACTGCTAAAGTGCATTCATACAGATTCATATCCCCTAACCTTCTCTCCTTCCCTGCCCACTACCTTATACCACTACACACCCCACACACCCATGCACGCATGCACACACACGCATGCACACACTGTCTTTCATTGAAAATAATCCCAAGATTATGGATGCTGTCTTATCCTCTTAGATGACAAAGGGAATTGTTGCTACAGGAAGCTAAATACCAGCAGAAACTCCTTGGCAACTTGTTGAAATCTGCTGTCATTTGCTCAAATAAACTACACAGAACATTTAGATAATACAGGTCTTTGGCTTTGCTGACTCTTGGAAAAAAGTAAAAATTATTCTTTATTCAAGTCACACATAAATAAAGCGACTTACCATTTTCAAAGGAAGTACCCTATTTGTCTGAATTAACAAGAAAATGCATAATGTAAATTTAGTAAATAATTTTCAAACTATTCTACATTATCAGAATAAAAGTAAAAGAAAGGAAAGTAACACAGAGATTGTGGATTTTTCTGGGATAACATTGCCCTCTCGTGGTTAGGTAGGATCTTACATTTAGTGAAAATTCCAAGGCAGGTTTGGGTTCACCACCAGTTTTGACAACTGAATCACACACAACTCAGGTGCCTGAGGTTCAGGGCCCAGGAATTCATTTCTTCCTCTTCTCCTCCTTGTACCATGTTTATTGTCTCACCATTTTCATATAACACCTCTTGCAGGCTCCCAACCATTATCCCTCCACCCACGGCCTGACCTACACTGTCCTACCCGGCCGGGTTAAGAACCTAGCCCAGTACGGGATGTTCATCAAGGATATGTGCAGAGCCTTCCCCACCTACCTTGCCCAGCAGCAAAAAGAAGGTGTGTTATCAGTTTACCTGGGACCCAGGACTATGTAGGAATCAAAAAATGTAGTGTAAGTTGTAGGTCATTGGCAAAATTTAGTGGCAGTCAATTCTGCTTCTGTGTTCTTGGTGTAAGAATAACCCAGCCTAGAGTGTCCTCCCCTCACTAGAAGAGATGATTTCTTGACACCAGAGCTCGTTAGGTGGAGAGCAGTTAACTGTGTCAGAAGGTCAAGGCCACTCATCTCATCCCAGAGGTTCCACTGTCAGAGGATGCCCTCACTGGTTTCTGGGCTTCATTATCCTCTGCCTGAGGAGTGCAGCACACACATCCACCACTAGAGAAAGGGCTTGGGGACCTCAGTCATTCTCAGACTTCTTCAGGGGAGGCAAGACCCCAATGTTTCTAGAACACTCTAGGAAAGGATCATCTGGGTGGTTAGCATCCTTGCTTGGCGTGAGATGGGCACCAATAGAGATCAAGTTGGAAAGACTTCAAGATCCAGATGCCAGTCCAGATGTAGTCAGCAATGTCTCTCCATCATGCGATGGTCAGTCGTTAGTACTTGGCATGTGCTAACCAACAGGCGCCTCCTTTGTAACAGGAGGAAAACATGGAGAACTTGAGAGGCTGTGGGATTGTGCAGGACAACGAGGAATCAGTAAAAGCAACAGAAAGAGCAAGTGTGCAGTTAATTATTCCCAGGGCTGGCAGGAGGAGCAGAGAGGGGAGCTTTTCATTTCAAGCTCACAGTCTCTTGCTAATTGAGTGTTCCTGAGCACGCAGCCAATCTAGCAACTCACAACGTATCTGCTTTGCTTTGGGTTCTCAAACCGATCTTTCTGCAATCTTTACAGGTACTGCCCTGGCAATTGACCCTAATTCCTGCACTGAAGTCCAGATTCTGTCCTTCATGGGACTCTCCATCTGTGGGGAGATCATTGGGCTCTGAGCCTGCAGGTCAGCCACATGAAGAGAGGATCTGTCCGCTCTGAGCTGCTGACCTGGTGTCAGGGTCGAGGGACCCAGACTGCCCTCTGCCCGCGAGAAGCTGCTCATTTAAACTCTCTACTTCTGCCTTTCCACACAATGCCAGGCTCTGCATTCTCACGTCCTGGGTGTGCTTTTCCCTGCGGGTGACATTAATAAAGCTTCTTTCATTACTGGTGTAGCAGAGCGGCTCCCCCGCCTGCAGAGTCCTCACTCAGCTGTGCACCTCTACAATATCACACACAGGAAGGGCCAGGACTCTCCTTTCCAGGACTTTCTCTTTGGGATGTGCCCTGAGAAATCCCTTGTAAATTTTTGGCAATAAACAAAGACACCAGGCACAATACTGGACTCTGGAGTTGGAGACTGTGACTTTGTTTCCTGAAAACTGGAGCCAAGACATCAAGGGGCCTATTCTCTGGCCATCCAGCCTGTGCCATGGATGAATGTAAATATGGCCCAAGGGAGGTCAGCTGTTACACAGTTACCTCAACCTATCGATACAGAGGAAAGAGGCTCCCAACCTGCTAGATGTCCAGTAAAAGTTCGTATTCTCTACAAGTGAAGAATGAACTCTAAGAACAAAGGTTAAGAGCAGGATCTAATTACTGGGGAAAGAATATTTACGGTGGGGGTGGGGCATTTGTCTAAGAGACACAGAAGGGATCCATAGCTGGCTGCCAAGAACCCTGCTTTTCAAGGCAATTTTATAAAGCAAACCATGAGGTGAGGTGGATCAAAGGCGGGGAAAACTATAATCAATCAGTAAGATTACAAGTATAATCATGTAAATAACATTGCTCCAAAGGGAAGTCACAGGTGGGCAAGAGGTGGGACAGAACTATGGTCAAACACTAAGATTATAATTGCTCAGATAATATGGATTAAATGGGGATCAAATGGGTAAACAAGTCACTTAGCAAGCAGGCGTAAAACAGGGATTTTCCTGGAGAGGGTCAGTCAGTGGCTCTTTCTGGCTTTTCCAAGGTGATCATATCTATTTAGAATGTCAATCACTGCTACTATGTGGGTGCATTTATTTCATCTTTTGTCTTGAAGTCTGGCCCTCAAGGCGTGCACCTCCCCCACAGTTGCAGTCTATTCCATCTTTTGCACTGACTCCCCCTCCAAGGTCTGACTTCCAGTAATATTTCTACCTAATTTGCTGTCTCTGATACTATCCCTGCCATCTCTGCTTCTCAGCAGCCCTAGGGACAAGCTGGCTGGCCCCAAGCTCAAGTCTCTGGCTTGGATAGGGGAGGCGCGCTTACCTGGCCCAGGTAGTAACCCCCCAACTGTGTCTTCCCTGTGTGATCAGAAGCAGTGTCCTTTGCTCTGCTTGGAATGTGCCTTTGTCCTGCTGCCTGCCTGGACTGGAGAGCACTTGTGCAGCTTAGGCTGTGCCTCAGAAGTTGGCATGGCTGAGCTGGGCACTCCGGCAGCCCCTGCCAACCATGGCAAGCAGAGCTGTGTTGACCTCCTTGGCCCAGAGGAAGGACCACAACCCAGGGTGTCCTGGCCTGGATACAGGCACATTGAAGCCAGAGCACAGGACTTTCAAGGCTGCTGTGGACCATAGCAATCACCAGTGAATTTATTTCCTGGAGCTGCTGAATGTTAATCTGTTGTGTTTTAAATCTTAAAAATATATCAACACTTTTTTAGTTTTTATTTTAAAGAGAAAAAAACAAAAATCAGGACTCAAACAATTATAAAATGATAACAAAAGCAAAATGACAACAACAAAAAACAATGGCAATATAGGATTTCAAAACAAGATGATAGGAATTTATCAATGATTGTTATATTACATATTGCTATCCTCAAAGTAATTGCTCAGGCTACCAGATACAGGCATGCAAGATTGGTCACACAATATAATTTCCCTTTGAGTAGTTCCTTTCCCTTTTACTAAACCTATTGTAACTTTTGGATCTTATTTACTCTTCCAGTATCTTGCACTAACAAGAATATAGTGTTTACACTTGCAATTTTCATTTATTTCACTTGTGAGTATGAATTCTGGTTATATCCAAATACCTATAAACACCTTGAGTTTTATATTTCCATATCGTTGAGTAGTATTCCATTATATAAAAATACCACATCTTTTTTGTCAGTTGCTCTGTTGATAGGCAACTAGGTTGTTTCCAAGGCTTATCTATTAAAAATTGTGCTGATGTAAACATAGGTGCACATATATTATTGTGGTATGATGTTTTCAATTCTGGGGAAATATTCAGAAGGGAAATAGCTGGCTCAAATGGAACCTTTAATCCTAGCTCTTTGAGAAATCTCCACACTGATTTCCACAGTGGTTATAGCAGTCTACATGCCCACCAACAATGGGGAAGTCTTCCTTTTTTATAACATGCAATTAAATGCAGATTTTTAAGAGCACAACTCAATGCATTTTACAAAAATACTCCTTAGTGCCATCATGCAGATGAAGATGAAGAACATTCCCAACACCTCAGAAACTTCCTTCATGCCAGATAAATCCTGCCCACACCCTTTCTGCAGCTGTATGCTGTAGCAAAAGCAGGAAGGAACCATGTGACAACCAGGGACTCTTTGTCAAGTACTCAAGAGCATGCTGCAAAATGGATTTCCACCTCAGAACAGGATAAGCCCTGAAAGCAATTTACAGTGCCTAAATATGTCTTCAGACCTTTGTATTAACATGGCTGCAACCTCAGACATTTGCCTGAGAGCTGAGGGAACCCTAGGTCTGCTGTCTGGCTGGGAGAAGGAGCAGCAGGATTAGTAGAATCAGGCAGAGTGCGTCAAGTAACACCAACTTCCATGAGTAACCACAGTATTGGTTTTCTGCAGGCAGAGCAGGAAAGAGGAAATCTAGAATTTTCAGTCATAAGGATGACAGAAATAGAGGTATCCGGGTTGAGCTCATACAGGTGCTGGTGTTGTGTGTACTCACTGGGCTATATCACACTCCTCTAAGTGCGTCTCCAAGAAATGTTCTCAGCTGCAAATAAAAAGAACCCAGTCAAGGTGACCTAAAGAGACAAAGATTGATCTGAATTATGTAATCCAGAGCTGGTGTAGTTTTGGAATTATACAGTCAGGTATCACCATCCTTCTTTCTATTCCTGAACTTTTCCTCTCTAAGATTATTACCTCTTCATCCTAAAACAGTTAATATACCTCCTCACATCAGCCTCATATCCTCATTAAAGGAAGGATACATAGCCAAAAAGGGAAAGGGATAGAGTTGGGTGCCAACTCATTCTGTTCCTCTTTATCAGGAGAGAAAAATCTTTCCTGGAAACTCCATCCAATAGTCTTCCACTTGTGTCTCCATGGCAACCTACAGGCCTATCACAGACCAAAGAAAACGACGGTACCTCATTTTTTTAAGAAAAGCAAAACTGATTTAGGCTTTCTCAACCTTCACACTTTTACTATTTTAAGCCATAAACTCATTATTGTGGGGGCTGTCTTGTGCATGACAGTGTTGAACAGCATCCCTGGTTTCCATCCACTAGATACCAGTAATATTCTCTCCTGTTGTGACCCAGTGTCACCAGAGGAGGGAGCCAAAAAAATCATCCGCATTGAAAGCCACTGACTTAGACCAATCATGATTAATTCCCTGAAACTAAATGACTATATGCCCTAAAAGTAAAGGCATTTTAACCGTTACTTACACAAAATGGGCTTTTATTTAAAAAGAGGGGGATGGGAAATAGGGATCAAATAATCAATGGAATTAGCTTTGCCAAAGAATATTATACAATTCTAATCAGCAGTACATAAACGAGCATTTCTTCCAAAGGGTCAAAGCCTCTAGTTTTCGCCTGTTTGCTTTACTCGGCTACCTTCAACTATTTTTTATATTTTTTCCAGGCATTTAATTATTACGGCAGAAAGGTTAATCTGATAGCCACTGTATCATAATCAGAAACTAAAACTCTTACCTTTTATTAGTTCCTCAATTTATACTTTACTATGTTTAATTAACTAATGCTTGATTTCAGGTGTTGAGTCAGTTATCCAAATGGTTCAAATATTTGGCTCCACGTATCCCAGTCCTGGGATCTCTGCATAAACAAACTATACTTACGTCTACCTGAGGTGAACAAACGTGAAAGTGACTTCCGGTGAGGAATAAAATGTCAGAGCAGGAAACCATCTACAAGCCTCACCAGGCTTCCTATACAAACCTCTCCAGCACGTCCATCTTGTGGTTTGCCAGCTGCTGTCTTAGCCAGCAGAGTGCCCTGCCGTCTCCTGGAGTCCCAGATGTGTTGTGTCCCACTAGGCTTGCCCTTCCTTCCCAGTGGGTTAGGGAACTCCGGTCTATAGGTTGAGCATCCCACAAAGTAACAGACTTGGTATCTACTCTCCTTAGCCCTTATCTCTTTGAAGCCTCCATTTGGACACTTCCATTTAGACATGAGCCTGGTACGCTCCATTTTTAAAACAGGACCAGTATATGAAAAGAATAACTATAAATTCCAAGGGAGATTGCCAATAATAACACTCTTTCCTGTCCTCCATCCCCCCCTTACCAATCCAGAAGATGCCCAGTGTGAGGCTTAGTGTCATGTAGAGTTATTTTTAGTTAAAACTAATTTGAAATAGAAGTCAGAAGGGTTCCCTCCTCTCTGGCAGCGCAGCAGGAAGAGGAGGACTTTGCAGCTGGCAGTCATGTTGTGACCTTCTCATGAAGAAAACCAGTGTAAGATACTGAAACTGATATATGGGAAGAAGGAGAATTGCAATACAGGGAAAGAGTCTGGCTATCATCAAGTTCCTAGTTCCAGCTACCTGTAATATTTCCTCCCAGTGTCAGTTATACGAGACAACAAACTCTCGCTTGACTCAAGCAAATTTGAGTTGGTTTCCATCACTTGCAAATACCAAGGACCCGACTAAAATATTCTACCATTAACTTGGCACACTATTATACACTCTTTTCTACTGTGATGAATTATTTTTACATAAATACCTCATTTTCCTAACAAGAAAATAAACTTCTTCACTGAGTTAGCTTTCTCCCAACACACCTGTCCCATGGCTAAGCACAAGACAAGTGCTTAAAATATATTGATTGATGGCAAATAAGAAATAGATGCACAGTATTAAGAATAGCAGCAGTCAGTAGCATATAGAAAATCTTGGTAAGCAGTGCCTCTGCTCTGAACTTGCCTCAATCTTGCTAGACTACATGAGACCCAGTTATCTAATCTGGGAATTTGCCCACATGGTGCAATTTCTTGGAAATTTCAAAAATTGTTTTCCTATATATCAGCTTGGCATTCCCAGTTGGGTTTTCATTTCTGTTAGAATTTTTCACTCCTTTTTTTCCTGAGTGGTGTTCTTTCTTCCTTGCCTACTCACTATAGTGCTGAACTATAGTCTCCTGTTTTGATGAGTTAGAAGACGTTTTCTTAAAGGCATGTGAGTGACCCACATGCCTCTAATGAGAGCATGTTAGAGGGGATTTTTCCCTTCACTTTAACAGTCAGGTTGTTTGATAAGGTTATACCAGGCCCTTCTCCCTCGCTGGTCAAGGTCGTGACCTCCCGAGTCCCACAGGCAGGAAGCAGCTGTGGCAGCGGATGCCAACAGAGATGGAGACACTCTGATGCCTTCACATATTCTGTTGCCCTGGTTGCATGTGACCCAATTATCTGGAAAGTTTCATACTTTGAAATCTTGGCACTTTTTTCTTTTATATGTTAACATAAACGTTGCTTGATTTCCCTTTGCTTCTTATAAAAATAACAAACACCCAGATAACTGTAAATACAGCATTCATGTTTTATTATTGAATCTCACAATTAGATGGGATGTTGTATAAGAATTTAATTTGGAGTCTGAATGGAAACCAAACATATACATTTTTTAAATATGAAACCAGTAGGTTGACTATCATTCTAAAAGTCAAAATCTGCACAGATGGAAATTCCAAAGATGTTCAGGAGCCCAGCGTTTACACAGCCTCCAATATCAATATCACCTGAAATGGAGAAAAATTTTAAAGAAAGGACATTAAAATTATATCAAGCTGCAACAAACCAATGCTTTTTCTCACGTGGGAGTTGTCCTTGCAACTTCATGGTACCCAAAATTTTAGCTATACCTACATGGCAAAAAATAATAGTGCATGAATGTAAGTAAGACTGACAATTTCTGAAAGTGTCTGTGAATCAATTTTAGTTGATTCTATGACATTTTGTGTTGATGACATACTTTCAACTCTTTATAAGTTCTGATGGGCAAATTTTTTTCCTGAGGAGTAAAAGTATTGAGATAATCTTTTTCTTCTCTACCTGCCTTCCATTTCTCCAGAGAATTTTCTTAGTCGTATTCATCAGAAACTTGGAACAAATTCAGTGCTGCTACCTGGCTAAAAGCGAGCTTTTGTTCCCTGCCAAAATACTCTGTCTGCTCTTTTCTGGACCAATTCTAGTCCTGATCCAGAGGGCACTCATTTCACAGTGACTTGTCTATTTCCTCCAAAAGATGCTCTTCTACGGCTCAGAAGACCTTCTTTCTACCTGAGATTCTTCCACGGAAAAGAATTCATAGCTTTTCCTCCACGCCCAGAAATTCTCTTCTGTCTTATACTTTGTTCTTATTTGTCCATTTCTCCACTGATATATCCATTCCATGGAAACAGAACTTTATTCCTGTCTGGATTCCTACCATTTAGCACAATTTCCACACTTAAAATGGAAACTAAATTGAGTCATGTTTCCTCTTATTTGTAACTAGCAGAAAAGAGTCAGTAAAAGAATGACTTACGTTTCTGCTTTTCAAACACTTCCCCCTCATACAAGGGGATGTGCTCGCAGAGTTTCCGAATAGGTGACCCAAACAGGAACCAGTCCACTTTGGTGATCAGAGACTTCAGAGGGTTGAACTTCACCCAGGTGTATTTGTCAGATGCCATGGTGTTCAAGGTCTAATCCGTGTAATAGAGAATGAGAGCATTGAATTAATTGCTGAATTTTGTATACTTTATTCTAAAGCATGACTGCATTTCCCTTTCACATTGCTGAACAGGTGGTTAGGAATCTCAAAACATCCTTTCTTTCTGACCAATCTGTCTGCAGACAACCCAGTATTACTGGTGTTATTTTACTCCTGGTGGCAGTGAAACCCAGGGAAGATAAAATTTCACGTCTCACACCAAAAGTGGCACAGATGGGAAATCATGAGAGGAGCTGAAACCTCATTCTCAGTGCAGTGTTCATGAATTTTCACTCTGTTGTATGGTTTCTTTGCCTCTTTGTGTCACTGAATATTACAGCTTGACTCATTTATTTCCCAATCACTCTTTCTTACAGCGTCTCTCTGAGAAGAGAGGCTGGTCAAGCCTTTCTGTAACACTAGAATTTATTATAAGTTCATGATTTAGGACTGTGTGGAGGAAATCAAGCTGAGGTATACTCGTCAAAAGAAAAAAAGAGAAAACACTTTGCTAAGCTGATTACCACGTACAGTCTTTTCTCTCACTATTCCTTTGTCTATAGGCACTAGTCTTGTGTGGCTCAAGAACAGAGATTTTTTTCTAAGGGTGATTCTTAATTACCTGCTCCTCATAGATGGACCGTTGGAGTGTGTCCAGAGCAGGGATGGCTTGATGGTCCATCTTTAAAATGTAGCAGGCTCTTCGGGAAAACACCCTAGATGCAATGTATTTCTGCGCAGTAAAAACACAGTTACAGTTCCCTCCCAGGGCCCTGGATTCCAAACTTGATGAGCATGTCTGGGTCTTAGAGGAAAGGCTTCAACATTCACAATGAGTAGATGATATCATTTTTCATTCTGCTGTCGATTCTGCCCATTAAACTTCTTGAGCATATGTTTATTTGCATTTTATTTGTCATTCCTACTCCTTTGAATTGTGCAAACCGGTAACTTTAGCTTTATATTTCATGTTACAGAATCAGAGTCTGCAGTTTGGGGTTTGAAAAAGTAGAAGGAAGCACCTCTCTGTCTCTTTTGATTGACTGTATTCTGCCTTTTCCCACTTAGAGGTAAAATACAACATTCTTTAATACAGTGCTGACCAATATCATGGTTGCTAACCACATGTAACTACAGAAATTGAAATTAAAATTAGATAAAGTTTGAAATGTACTTTTTAAATCACACACTTTGGGTACTAAATGGTCATGAAAAGCTAAGCGTTTCCTACTGGAAAACAAAGATGTTGTATGTATGTACACACAACATGTCTAATGAAACTTCTATTGGACAGCAGTGCTATAGAGCTCTGTTGGGAGAAGTGCACACCAGCACCTCTCCCACACCCACACACGCGTGCTCTATCTAGTCCCTCCTCCTTGACCACCTTCTATCCTTCTCCTGTTTTCTCTTCTTCATCTCAAACCCCAGCAGGCTGTAGAGGAATCAACTGGCTGCAGCTGGGATTAGAAAAGCAGTGAATACTTGGGATATCAAAGCCAGGAAGGGCCTAACGTCCACAAATTTTTAGCCTGGGTAGAAGTTTTCTCTGCAGAGTTTTAAATAATTATATATTCCATTAGGTTGGACACAATAGAAAATCTTATAGTTCCTGTAGTCCTTACAGTTAGAAATTTTAAAAATAGAGGGCCAGGGGTATAGCTCAGTGGCATAAGCACATGCCTGGAAAGTGCAAGGTCCTGAGTTCAATTCTCGGTACCAATAAATAAATAAATGAAATTTAAGAATATACTGATTGGCAAAATGTGACAGCAGAAGGGGCCTAAACAAGATCTTCACCATTGTTTTCGTAAAACCTCTTTGGGGATCTCTGTGGTACCTACTTAAAAGCAATTGTAGTACTATATCTTTTTACATTGTATGGTTTAAATATCTATGCTTTAGAATGTGCCTTGGGACTTCCAGTAGCAATGAAGAGGAAGTTTGTAGAGAGAAAGAAGAAAAGTTTATTTAAGTGTCCAGTGAGATGGCTGCAACCCACTTAGACTCACAGTGTACATCTCTGCAGCGAGGCCAAAGCAGATCGATAATTAGTATTTGTGAGACAAATGGAAAACAATAGATGAAGGAAGGAAAAAAATAAGTTTTCAGAGTATGTTTCTGAGGTTTCTTGTTAATATGGGTAACTAAAACTTGAAAATCACTTCTTCCAAATAATATTGCCTGTATAATCGAACTAAATGTGGCTAGTTGCTCTGGAATTCTGCTGTTTTTGTGATTGTTCTCTGATTACTCTTTTTATTCATATTTTGATTTAGAAGTGTTGATTTACTCATTTATTTATTTATTTATTTGAGAAATATGTTTGAGAGTTCAAATCCAGACATGGCTGGTAATTTTTGTGTATGTTTGTGTGTGCCAGGGATCGAACTCACAACCTCACATTTGCCAAGCAGGTGCTTACGACACTGAGCTAAGCTCCCACCCGATCATCCTTCTTTCTGAGCCTATCATGGGACAATATCACCTGTTTTCCAATTTCCACCTGAAACACTCAACTAAACATGTATTTTTCCCATCATATTTGTTTCTTAGAAATGCTTCTGTTTGTCCATTAGCCAGTTTTTTTGATTACTGAAGGAGAGAAGCAGAATTGAGAAAATTCTTAGGGAACAGCAAAGCTAAATCTTAAAATTTAAATATATAATAAACGTGTATCCTTTGCCCCATAGAAAATTGTCCTGAACATTTAAAAGCCTCCTTGCTGCTTACGTGTTTATAGTCAAAAATTGTGGTAGAGGAGCATGACCCTGCGTGGATGTTAACAGTGGCGGTATTTTTTTCGTTGTCAATTTCCACTGTCTCCTGAATAGTACGACCACTGTTGCTTGGGCTGAAGATGTTGTAAACCTAGAAATGATAACAAACATACAATAGGTTTTCCACAGACCCCATTCATTTGAAAGGCAGCTCTTTCAGAAAAACAAAGCTTACTAATGGTTATGAACAAGTAACGGAAGGCTGAAGCTTCTCCACAGGGGTTCCAAGCCAAAACCCATGATCAAATAAAAACCTGAAGCTCTTCTTCATAGTTATCATATTATATAAGGGAGAAGCAGTAACATCCCAAGAGAAATAAGACTGACCACGTTTTGAAGCAATGGGTTATGTTTATAAAGATATTGTTGTTAGACTGGAATATAACCACCTCATCTTCTGATCATTTTATCATTAGTTATTTATGGGATTCCATCCAAATAGGGTTTATGGACTCTACTGTCCTACAGATTATCTTTTATTTTCTTTTTCTTTTCCCAATGTCTGTGAGGAACCAACTCACCTGGGATCCATGAGATTGTATCCCAAAGCTGGCCAGCACCATGAGAAATGCCACCTAAAAAATAGACCAGTCCCATCAATTCCTTCTGGTTAGTCGCTGAGGGCGAGACTGGACACCTAGGGACACCGCTGAGTGGTCACGCATGATCGGCAGGCTACTTCTAAATTTGAAGACACACTCACATTTGCTTATTGAATAGGCAGTACTGAGTTCATGTCATTTGTCAGACACAAGGCTCCACTCTGCCCTGCATGTTGCCAATTTTTTCCACTGTTTTTTTTTATTTAAAGAGAAAAAAACCCAAAACAAAACAAAGCAGTAAAAGGGTACACGTAATACAGAATTTCAAGAAAAAAAATATACAGTAAGAAATCACTAGTTAATAGATTACATATTGTCATCTTAGAAACAGTTGTCCAAATTACAAAATTAAAGCATACAAAGTGGACATTCATACAGTGAGATTGCAGACAGTTCTGTTCAATGATCCAACAAAAACTCAGTAATATGTTTTTCTAGCTTACACACTTAAATATACAGGCAGTTATATCCTTTAGATCACTTTCTTTTCCTCTCTTTTTTACAATAACAATTACACTTTTGGGGTTTTATTACTCCCACAGTTCTTATAACTTTTTTTTTGAAAAGAAAAAAAAAACAAATACGACAAAGTAAAACAGAGTCAGAACAGAAGGATGGGCTTAGTACATGAGTACATGATGCAAAAACAGAATACCAGGTGATCAACAGTGGTTACCGTTATGCCTCTTAAAAAGAGTTGCCTATATCATCAGGTATAATAGAATTGAACAATTTCCCACCATTTTTACCAGCTAGACAACAGGAAAACCTACAGCAGGTGAGCAGAGGAGACTGCATTTTACCCTAGGAATGCCCTGCTAGGATTCACACTGGCTTTAGATTAAAGAAGGCAAGTTATGTCCTGTGATGGAAAAAAAGAAAAGAAAATCTCCAATTCCTTGAGACTGGAAAGGTAGACTAAAATTACAGTGGATGAACAAGCTATAAAAACATAGTGAACTTCTAAAAGAAACTATGAAAATAGACTGCTTGGAAGCATGGTTAGCTTTTGAGGTTGACATCAGGGAAAAGTCCCCTATCCCGCTATAACCCATGCCTTACAGATACTGTCCAGCAAGTGCTGGGCCAGCAGGCCATGCACCAGACATTGGAGGCAGTTCTAATAGTTTACTGCAGTAATGTAAGAGGCTGACCCAGCCTACTGTTGGGCTTTCTCTTGTGCACATGGTATAGAGCTGTGCCATTATTGAAAGCTGGTAGAGGGCATCAGGAGAAGGGCCGATCAATGGGACTTTTCTATGTCCTCTTGCACCCTACTCCTAACACTTCTCTTCTGGTGCCAGGGGAAACAGCATCTAACAAAGATGTGAGTGTAGATAATCAGCCTGCCCACTGGCACAGAGGTGCATCTTCCCGTCTCAGGTCAGCTCTAGGAACTTCTGGGGCTTCTGTGCATTCTAATTAATGGCTCTAGGGTAGTAGTTTGAATAAGATGCTAGACTAGAAACCTCAGGAAGTGTCCTCTTTCCCAAAATAGGTTCTCATTCAGCACCATAGCTCACACACCATGGGTAAAATTTGTACTTTAGAGAAGGATCTTCTCCTGGGAAATCAAAAGCCCCCTGGAAAAGGAAATTCTTGAAGCTGACAGCCTTTATGACCTTGACAGGAGGTACTTAGCATTCTGCTTGGCAGCTGAATGAAAATAAGAGACAGAGAATTGGAGGCAGGCATTCAGTTCTGGGTCAGAACATGGTCCACTGTCCACTGGGCACTGCAGCATGGAACGATGCAGTCTGGGGTCAGATGGAGGAATGGAGCGAGTCATGGAAGGCATGCAGGCCTTAACGGAGAATTCAGACAGCCTGGGTAGCCACTGAGGGCACTACTACAGGAGTTTAAACTTAGTCTGCCCTGTAAGGATCTAAGGTGGATAAATTATACCCTAAATCCTCCATTTACAAGCTTGAGAGAAGTACATTCTTCTGCACCTCAGACTGCTTGTCTGTGAAGTGAGGATAATCCTACTTGATTTACAGGGTAGGTGCAGTGGATAAATGAGATTATTCATGAGAAATGCTTAGCCTAGGGCTTAATACTCATCTGGGCCAAACATAAATGCTATTATTACTGCTACATATACTATTATTATTTTTTAAATTACCACTTCTCTTTCACATAATAAATGCAATTGTTCTAAAATGCCTAAACACCCTTCAAAACTCATAAGTAATTACTATTGAATATCCTCCTAAGTACAATCTTCTTCATATTTGCAGCATTATATTTTACTTTTTTAGTAAACATTTAAAAAGAGATAATGGATACACGAATATCTGACTTAATATTCATGACTATTCCTATCAAAGACATCATAGAAGCTCAGAAGCAAGCAGTGTTTGTCAAAGATCCCTGAAATCCGTGACATATTGGATATAATCATTTTCTTTACCAGAAACTGCAACGTAAGTATCAAGAATCACAAATGAATACTCACAAAGATTTTCATTTTGCCTGAAGGGAAGACGATGTTGGAGCAAACGAAGCAGCCTGTTGCACCTTCTACCCTTTATATTGGTTTTAAGATGTAGCAATCTCTCTTCCAAATGATCACATAGGAAGACCATGTCTCTATCTCTGACACACCCTAGCAAATTCCTTTATCAGGACTGATACTCAACCACATCCATTATATCAATGGAGTTCATAAGTCATTCATGAAAATTCCACACTTGGTCACTCTGTAAATATTCTCTGCTTATCTGTTCTGTGCTACACTGGAGATTTCATTTTTTTACCCTTTAAAAATATTACAAGATATTTCTCCTACAGATATGTTGCATAGACACTTGAGCATATACTCCTAGAATCTCCTTCTGAAGGTATAGTTTCTTCTTAAGCCTTGACTTGTTTCTCTACTTAGTCTCTTATAATCACTCTCCTGCTGTTGAATGTCTTCCCCCCATGAAATTCAGAGGCAAATATAACATTTGGAGTCTTGCTTTGAGAATGAGCATCCTTGTGGTTTTATTTCTTCCCTTTGGAGATGTTTCCAATGTTCAGAGAATCGTGAGAAACAAGGCTCAGAAAGTTCTCTGCCCAGTTCCAGGGATAACCAAATGTTTACCTTGAGCTTTGTCCAGAACCCCATGAAAACTGTGACTCAAATATCTCTAGTTGAGGACACTGGGAAACTCTCAGATTTTGAAAGGGGAGGGGGGAGAGAGAAAGTGAGAGAGAGAATCTTTAATTTCTGTGATTTTTAATGCTGTAAATAGAAATGGCTAGCTAGCATAAAGGAAATTTTTAAAATTGCAACTGTAAATTGCAACATTGTAAAAGTTTGAGAATAAACACCATAAACAAAGAGATAACATACTTAATGTCCTTGTTCCACAGCTGAAACAACTTGCTAATCAGCAATTTTATTTTAAAAGGAGAATTTTTAAAAGTGGATGTGTGGGCAATTGGGGGTTTATTCAGTTAACTGGAATTCCCCTCCCATGGCTGTTCATCTGGGTGGGATGTAAACCATGCTGCTTTTTTAAATCTTTCTGAGATCCCTGCCGCAGAAAGGTTTGCAGTTTCATAGCACATTTGCAAATATTCTTCCAAATGTGGCTCCAGAGAGCAAACAGCAAGCTGGCAAGGCCTCCGAGCCGTAATACTGAAGGAATACTACACCCTGTCCTCTACTTCGTCGTCCTCCTCTTTCCAATACTTTGGAGTCTATATGATGGAGTGATAATAATAATTAGCATTTATGGAGCATCTAATATGTTTCCATGTTCTCTAAATACTTTGTATACATTTTCTCACTTGATTCTTGTAGCTCCATAAGTTACCTTTTATCTTGTTCCACTTTAGAGAGAGAAAAATAACAAGGTTCAGGAAAGTTAGATGCCTGCCTAAAGATACACAATTTCTTAGGGAAGGAGTTGGCATTTGAACTCAACTGACTCCATTTTCCAACCTCGTTACAAAAATCACACATCTTCCTGGTTAGGTGCAAGGTAAGTGTAACATCTTGGCTTCCCAAGTTGGAAATGTTAGCAAGGAAACTTTCTTCCACAATGCTCCTTGACTAAAAGATAGACTTGAAAATCATCAGGCCTATCCACAAGAATGTCAATGGGAGAATGAAAAGTTGTGTTTATCAAAGTTTTACAAATTAAATTCATGCTTAAACTGCCCAGCTCCCTGTGGAGGGGGTAAGATTACTGAAAAAAAAGTTCTCAAATAAATGAATTAAACAACTACTTTAAGAAATCTGTAAATAAATATCAAATTAACTTCAAATCAAGCATACAATAAGAAATAACAAAACTATCAACAGGAACCAATGAAATTCAAAAAAGAAAAGAATAAATGAATGAAAAAATATTTTATTTAAATGAGTCAAATCTTTAGCCAAACTGTTCAGGAAAGTAAAAAAGAAAAAAGACATGAGTTTTTGTATCAGCAATAAAAAGGGGACACCACTATTCATGCTCAACAAAAAGATAATAAGGAAATTACAGTTTTATGTACACAAACTCAAAACAAAGATAAATTACCAAGCTTCCTAAAAGTGTATCTATACCTACTAGACATCAGCTAAAAGGAAATAAATAACTTGAGTGACTCTAAATCAAAGTTTTCAAATTAGATTTGTAGTTAGAAAGCCCACAAAGCAAACTCCAACCCTTAAATGGCTTCATTGATAAATTCTATGAAACATACAAGGAAGAAATACCAATTACAAATTCATTGTTGAGGCCACTATTACTTTGATATCAAAACTAGACAAAGATAAAATGAGAAAAGAATCTACAGAATATAAATAAAAATAATCCTCAAAAGTGTTAGCCTTTGGAATACATCAATATATAAAGTAGGAATATATCATGACCAAGTGAAGTTTTTCCTGGGATAGGAGGCTTTTTCAACACTTGGAAATCAACCAGTGTATACCAACTGAAGATAAAAGCCATCTGATCATCCTGATGGAAGCATTTGATAAAATTCA